CAGGTGCTTATCACTGCAGAATACCTTGGCTCTCCTTTTTACAGAAAAACATAACTCTAATGTATACCTTTTGTGCATGGTAAGCTAGCTTGACTTCATAGTGTATATAGATATCAGTAAAAGTTGGGGAGGGGAGGAAAGGAAGAGCTGTGCTAAAACCTGGGTAAGGGGGCATGTCTTTGGTACGGAGTTAGTCAAGAATAATATGGGTGAGGCCCTTTTTGGTGGGACATTGGAGGGGTAGGAGAATGGATTAGAGTCTAAGCTGTACTCTTAGTTGGACAGGTAGTCCACTCATTTTTTTTTTTTCCGGGGAAGGGGTGGTGCAACTTAAATTGTGTGAGTGCTAAAGGTCTTTATCTAGAATAACTCTTATGTACCCAGGACAGAGGTTCTCCCAAAAATCTCTGGGGAAAGCATTAGAGAAGGGTTCCGTTTACTACTGCACAGGAACCAAGTAATGTTTTAGAGGATGGAAGGGGTACAGCTCCTGTCATGATACAGTAATTTTGTCAGGGTTTTGCAGTGTGGTTGCTTAGACCTGAACTAGGCTGACCTGGGTGTGAGACATGAGAGTTGATTGCCAAAGCTATTCAGCAGTGCAAATTATGTACTACTGTTTGATCACAGGAGGCATCTGCCAGATGTCAAAAGTTTCTTGCACCAGGAGTGCTATCTTTTGAAGCATAAAGGTCAGGCTGCTTAAGTGCCCCAGTTGAAGAGAGTTTGTAAACGTAGCAACAGAGCAATAAGAATATACTGCTCAGTGAACTCTCAGAAGACCAGGCCTGAGTATGGCAGTTCACCATGTACCGTATGGTTCTACCAGGACTGGGTATGGCAGTTCACCATGTACCGTATGGTTCTACCTAGTGGAAAGGTAAAATGCTGTGTATATTTGCAGATTCTCCGGGTGCCACATACTTTATAGGTGAGGCTTTCTTTTGGTACATACACAAGTTTTTTCATCTAGCCCTGGCTTAGTGTCAGGGTGGATATCACTAGAAAGGTTTAGAATGAAATGGCTTGGATAACAGGACTACTCTAAGTATATGGGTAGCATTTTGAATAGTTCAGAATGCATTGTTTCTGTAAGTTTTTTGTTAGTAACAAATTAGAAAGCAAAGGCACTTTAACTTATAACAGTTTAAAATGCCATTAGTGTGGAAAGAAGGTGTAGTATATGTAATATAATTATTCAGAACATGGATCAATTGCATAGATCAAGGCTTAGAGGAAGAGACTAGATATTAGCAGTGTATTGTTTCAGCATAACGATTACTGCATGTTAGCTACTTTTGTGCACCTCGCAATGTCAATAGGCACTTTTAGTCACGGAGAGAGACAGGATCTCGCTAAAAATAATCTTGGCAGCCCTATAAATTTAGCATGCAGCAGCGAAAATCTAACGGCTCTACCAAATGCCAAGGGAACTTTTATATTTTTTGTTTCCTTGATGCCATGGAATTGCTTAAATGAAAGACACTTTCAGCATTCCTTCCATTTCTTAAAACTGATCATTGTCATTGGACAGACATGCTATAAATATGCAGATGAGCCTGTAGAAGGACCCTAGCCTGGGTTTTAGTTCTCACTAGTCACAAGAATTTTTGTAGCTAGTAAAATTACTCAGCTATAGCAATAGATTCTTCCTCTTTTTTTTTTTTAATTTTATGCTGATGGATATTATTCCCCATCTGCAAAGGAATCTTTTTGATTAAACATTTACAAAATGGAACCATGATTAAACAACCCAGTCGGGCTGTAGGCGGTGTTCTTTTAAAGATGTTATATAAATTGCTTCATCAGTTGTCAGCTTTTAGGTGAAATGATGCTATGTCTTTTTTTACCAGCAGATGGTTAAAAGAAAAAATTACTGGCTTTGCCAGACACATCAGGACAAGGCAGAGTGTGGTTAGTAGAAAGTCTGACTAGCACAGTAAGAATCTCAACTTCTTTGGTCTCAAGGCACCCTTTGGAAAATGGGAGGTCTTAACTTCTGCTTTTTTTTTTTTTTTAACCAGGGAAAAATAATAGAGTAATTCACCTGTGGTAAAGAAATTGGAAAGACTGCAACAGGCCAGATACCATGCATTCGTCTTTGATACCTGTGGGTTTATCTTGCAAATTGTGTGTAGGTGTTTGTGCACCCAACAGTGCTAATATTGCATGACCTCCTTAAAGGGATTTCATGGCACCCTGGTTGAGAATCACTGGACTAGATGTACTATTAAATGTTCCTTCATCTTCTAACAGTAGACTTTTGAATTGGCTTTTTATAAGAGAGGGAAAGGACTTTCTCTCTTGGGTCTGTAAAAGCTTTCATCTTAAAATGCAAGGCTTTTTGACTTCTTTTCAGCAATGATCATATAACCTGAGGACATAGTAATTGTTTAACATCTTACCTTATTTTTTCCTTTCTTCCTTTTAAAGTCAAACAGTATCCCAGGGCTTACTGTAGAGACAGTCGTTAACAGTTTTTCTCCCTGGATGATAGTCATGAATATCCAGTCACATGTTGGGGGTAATACATGTTAGTCAAGTCTCAGTTGGTCAAATCCAGTAGTGGGCTCTGGATCAGGGTTGGCCAACCTTTGGCACATGGTAGACTGGGGAGAGAGCAGAAAGCTGAGCCGTAGATTAGGTAAGGGAAAGTGATTAGAGTGGCACTCAAGGAGGGTATGGGGCTAATTTGGGGAACATCTACCAGAAAGATTGGCCCCCACTCCTCTATATGGTGGATGCTAGAAAATAGTGCCATCAATCCTTACGTTGTGTGCTCTTCCTTCCTGATGTGTCTTTAGAAGCATCTCCAGGGGAATGAGCTTAGATTTAACATTATTACCTGATTGAGATTTGGTTATTTTATTCTTTCCTTTGTGCTTAATCTTCTTTTCCTGATGTTCCATGCTTTCTTTCAATTAGACATCTTTGCCTGGCTCTTGTGTGTTCACCTTCCGGGTGTGAATATTTTTTTAAATTGAATAACTTGCTGAAATAATTACTGTAATGTATGCACTTCCAGTATGTCTTTTCGTCCTGGTGCTTGGACATCTGAGTCTTGAGCTGTAGAATGTGTAGATAGGTACCACCTGCTGTACTGGAGGGGGGTGGGGGGGCTCGGGTTGGCTCTTTCACTTTTGGTGGTTACTCCTCTGAAGAAAGTCAGTTCTGTTAAGCTGCTAAAGTGATTTTCTGGTCTTAAACATCATTGGTAACAACCCTGATTCCTAGCCTCTTTGAGCCTTTGAGCCTTGTGGTATATGTGCTTGTAGGTTGGCAACTCCACTCTGAAAAGATGGTCCCTGCCTCTGTTCTTTTCTAAATAGAGAAAGGAGGCAAAGGATGAGAGTGTGAGAGAGAATGCAGCTTGGCAGAAACCCAGATCTGCGGTAAAGGTGACTAATAGGGGGCCAAACTTTTTGGTAGGTGTATGGCACCAGTTAGCTCCACACCCTTCCAGAGTGTCACTCTAATAATTTTCTTGCCCAATCTGCTCCCTGCCCTATCTGGCAGTGTGCTACCTGTCTTCTCCCTGATGTGTGGTGTGCGACAAACAGAGGTTGCCTGTACCACTTGTGGTACTCGGTCATAAGGATGGCCAGCCTATATTGAAGAAGGGCATGAGCTCTTATGTGCGTTGTGGCTTAATGAGTGAAGAGTTGTGTGTAAAGTGGCTTTTTGGTCCCTGGCAAAGCAAATACCAGAATTCATGTGCAGGTAGTCACATGGAAAATGCACTGATGTTATTCTAAATCTGCCCCTTCAGTGAGTTTTCCATTCTGATAGTTTGTATGCATGAAAGAAAGCATGTTGATTTATTCAGTTAGAGGATTCATCATAGTCTTGTTTACTCACACTCTTCTGATGTTGACATGTTTTCATTTTTCATTTCTTCTTGATATTTGGACTAGCATAGTAGAGGATTTGGAGACAGGAACATGATTTACAAGAAGATTCTAACTGAACTTCACGAATGGTATACTAGTGGTTGATTGTATTTCGGTGTCACTTGATTTGCTGATGTCTTATGGAAAGCTATTTTCTAAGGCAAGGCAGCAGTATGTTCTGGGGCTGGATGTATGGCGAGTTATTCAAACTTTGAAAAAGCATAATCTGGCTTTGAGATGTGTGGAAAATTTAAGATCTCAGTGGATTCATTTGTAATATAGCTGAAACGTTTAATGTAAACCAGTGGTTTTCAACATGGGATCCCTGGAGGTCAATGGACTGTCTAAGGGATCCACGAAAGATATCTATGATCAGTGAAAAGTATGTGAATGTCCACACTTATAATTTAAACATGTCCACACCTCCATTCAAAAATTTTTAGGGGTCCACAAATGGAAAAAAATGTTAAAAACCACTGATGTAAACTATTGACTGCATATCATACTGTGTGAAATGTTAGGACATTAAAAAAACCTAACACCTCTTATATAAAAGTAAAGCAGTCGCTTCCCTGAGGAGTATAATTTAATTAATAAAGATTGTGGTAAATGACGGTCTAGCAACGGGTACTCCTAAACCTAACCTAACATAGCTTAGGTTTAGGAGTAGAAGCCTCATTTAATGGGAATAAGTCACTTAAGTTGCCTAGTAGTTCTAGGTCTCTTATGGTAACACATGGCAAACATTCCTAAGGTTACAAGTTCATTGATTTGCTTTGATTCACAATTTCGTGGCTTTTAAAAACTTAATTACACCTCTAAATTTGAAGCCTAATAGGGATGCTGGGGATGGATAGAATTTGAAGGAACAATTTAAAGGAACATGGAGATGTGTTGCTACGTGTGATTTATTTGATTTATTATAATGATATAGTTTTCTTCTGAAACTGTATTATTTGTATATTTTTTTCCATTGGTAATCAATACTAGGCGACTTTGTATTTTTAGATAGGTCCTTTACAGCATTATTCTGCAGAAATAGTTTTATATCAGTAACTGCTTTGTATTATTGTATTGGTTTACTCTTTTATTTTTTTTTCTTTTTATCAGCAAAGTCAAACAGGAAGCTTACTTTCCTGTACCTGGCCAATGATGTAATTCAGAACAGCAAAAGGAAAGGACCAGAATTTACAAAAGACTTTGCACCGGTTATAGTGGAGGCTTTTAAGCATGTTTCCAGGTATGGGGAACTATATCATTTGCAGTATTGGTAAGGATTTAAATAGTGAATACATCCATGAAGGAAAAAGCCCTGAAAACATTTATTAGCAAGTTAACCTCTGTTCCACTCAGTGACCTTCATATGTGTTAATTAAATAACCATTAATTTGGATCTTCATTATACTTTTTAAAGTTTCCTGTTATGCACCAGTTTAGTTAAAAGAAAATCCTTTGGATAGTGAATATGTGGTTATTATATTGTGATCTCTTTAATATACATGTTCATCTACATGCAGATGATCTTTTTTTTTATTTTGGAAAGCTGTAAGCCATCTTTGTTTTGCATATTAGAATGAAGGTAAACCTTTGCATTTACTTATGCTATATGCTTACACCAAACTTCTGGATCTGTAGGGAATCCTGGGCCATGTGTTCTGAATCAGGTGCACAGTCGAGGTGTGCTGGGGCAGCGCTGATTCCTTGGGGCCTGGGCCTGGCACATGGGAGTGGTCCTGGGCTGTGGACTGGCCCTGCCTCATTCATCTGGCCTTCAGGGCCTAAAGGTTGAGCATCAGTGCTGTAAATAAATCATGTTTTCTCATGCATTCTTCCATAGTGAAATTAGAGTTGTGGGCCAAGAGACTTGTACTTTAGCTTGACATACTTGCTGCATGATATTGGACAGATTACTTCTTGTGCCTTGGCTTTCCTTCATGTAGAGCAAGGAGTTTTCTTACGGGCATGTCAGAAGCTAGATTTATTTTTATGTTTGTAAATCCAGTTTATTGGATAAAAGATATAAGGCTGCATTGTTTAATACTGGGTATATTATAGTTTTTTATTAGCGGTGATTTTACTTTTCTTCCTTGCAACAGTGAGTCTGATGAGAGTTGTAAGAAGCACCTTGGCCGAGTACTCTCTATCTGGGAAGAAAGGTCTGTTTATGAAAATGATGTATTAGAACAACTTAGGCAAGCATTGTGTAAGTATATTGTTGACACAAGGGTGTTGATTTCTCTCTTGTTTTAATATACGGTTCCTTGAACTGACTTTTGTATCTGTCCTTTAATTTGTAGATGGTGACAAGAAGGGTAAGAAGCGCACATATGAGCAGATACAAGTTGAAGACAATAACTGTTCAGCCCGAAGTTCACCAACTGACCCTCCACAGGTAGATGTAAATGTACAACTTTAAATATTTCATAAGGTTTGGGATACAGTTACAATGACTGAAAGTTTATAGTACTCGCTCTGCACTGTAAGACTTCCTTTTAAGATCTCAGTCATTGCTTGACATAGCTAGAAGATAAGTAAAAGTGCTTCTGTCACCTTTGTTTCCTCAGTTCTTGGACTGATTTGAATAAAACAAATGCTAGTGTAACTCAAGGCAGTACTTGTGCTCTCAGCTGTGCAGACAGTATTGATCCCAGAAGTACCAGCTGCTATGCATGCCATTATATTGGAGGGGAGGGGAGGGGAGGGGGAGGAGAGGAGAGGAGATAGGTATCACTGTTAAATGCGTTAGCTTTACTAATAATTCCCTCATGCTGATCCTCATTCATTCATTCACAGTAATTATAAGTTCTGGGGTGGTGCTCTTAAGGATGTAGAGGAACATTGATATGCCAGAGGAAATGACCTTTAAAATTTTGTCTTGGTAAAGCTCCAAATACTGGGGATGAGTAGGAAGATTAAATTGAACACTGAAAAATATAGGTTTGTTTTCTTAAACAACTCTGTACATTATTCAGTCCACCAAAATCTACTATGTACTTCTTATTTTGGGGCTTCCTGAAATACGTATCTTTTAAATCTTGATTCTGACACGTTAATATCAAGGTATCTTATAATTTCAGCAAATTTGACACTTAATACACATGCATATTAGTTTTCTTTTTTTTTTTTTATAGAACTTCAAAATGACATGCTTGGCTTCTCAGTAAAATAAGGAATATGTTAAACTAGGTTATTGTAAACTATGTTGTTGTAAGTTTGTCAACAATGTATCTATTTGACGTATGACTCCACAGTAGCCAACATAAATTTTGTTGCATACAAATGTCCCAGAATATAGTATGCAATGAAGGAAAAAAGGTTATTTCCTGAGTTTAAGGCTGCATAGAGCAGGATCAGAGCCTAGTCTTCAGCTGACTCACCCTCCCTTTCCTCCTTAACTGAAGCTGAGGGCCTAGCTGCTGCTGAAGACTGATCTCTATGGGCGTGTCCACACGTGCAGGCACATGCGCTTGCAGCAGCTTAAATAAAAGTAGCACAAATTTGAGCCAGGGCTTTTTGCCTCGGCACACGTGCCCGTACATGTACTTTTTTGTGGGGCAAATTGTGCCACTTGGGGCAAAATAACTCTGCCTGGCTCCTCCTGGATCTGCAGCCAGGGGGGCTTAGAACCTGGGTACAGTACCTGTGCTGGTCCCAGCAGTATAAAAAGCTGCCCTGTGCTGGTCCCAGCAGTATAAAAAGCTGCCCTGGCAAGCAGCTCAGGGCTACTTGCTCTCAGGAGCTTCTGGGGCCCAGCCACTTAGTATCTGGGGACACTACCCCTTATGGCAGCTGGACTGCTGAAGCAGCATCTGAAATTCACTATTTAAAATACCCCAAAGTCCATGTTCTTCCAGTTAGAACGAAAGACCACTTCAGGCAACCCCTGCTTAGCGCTCTTAATTGGTCCCTGAAAAGGCGAGTGTTAAGTAAAACAGGTATTAAACGAAAATGAAAATATTTGATAACTCAAGATGACAATTGCAATTGTTTTTAATGACCCAAGATGGTGAGCGCTAGCATTATAATGAAACTCACTGCATGCTACGTGAAATCAGGTATCAATTTAAAATGAGCTTTATAGCGAAATAGCGCTAAGCGGAGCAGTGTTAAGGGGGTGGGTTGCCTATATATATAATATATATGTATAGGCAACCCAGCTATAACAGCGTTCTATATATGTGTGTGTATAGAGGAAGAGCGAGATCAGTTGGGCCAAGTCTTATTGCTATATTTACAATGTTAGAGCAATTTGGAAGTCTGCGAGTGTCACTATCATCATAATAAAATACATTTTAAATATCTATATGTTTTGATGTTTGCTTTTGGTTTTCTTATCACATAATGAGTGTGTGATGGGGGATGTGGGGTTTGCAGGAGAGGGGTGGGAGGGTGTGTGGATAGGTGTGGGGGGACTGTGTGGGGGAGCTACTTAGGAGGGGCGGGTCCCCTGTCCCCCCCCCAGAGGGCACAGCTGCCCCACACAGCACATGGACTGCCTTCCTGCAAGGTCCAAGGGGGAAGCTGAGGAAAGAGGTGGAAGCTGGGGAAGTGAATGGAGAGTTGTAGGAATGAGGGGGAAGCTGGGGGGGCATTTGGGAAGCTGGTGGAAGGAGGGGAAAGCTGAGAAGAGTTCTGGGAGCTGGGGTAAGCTGGGGAGAGATCAGGGAGCTGGTGGAATGAGGGGGAAGCTAGGGACAGATCAGGGAGCTGGGGGAATGAGGAGGAACTTGGGGAGAGATTGGGGTGCTTGGGGAATAAGGGGGAAGTTGGGGAGAGATTGGGAAGATGGGGGAATGCGGGGGAAGTTGGGGAGAGTTCAGGGAGCTGGGATAGTGAGCATGGGGCTGGGCCTGGGCAGAGGCCTCCCCATGGTCTCCTCCCCTCTTCTCCAGGCTCCCTCCCATCCCCTGCTTACCTGGAACAGAGCCCACGTCCCGGTCCCTGCAGCCTGCACTGCTGCTTTTCCCACGCAGGCAGGTGGCGTGCTTCAGCACTGGGGCAAGGGCCAGCCATAGAGACGTGGAGGACGGAGCCTGCGGCTGCCTCAGGGCAGAGTCCAGGACTGTGCCCTGGCCTGCTTTTTTCCCCTGGGGTATTTTTTGATACCTGGATCTCCAGGTACCAAATTTTGAGCAAATTTATCAAATTTGCAATCTTTTTGCACCAAAGGAGTTTGAGACACTGCAAGAGGCACGTTCACGCTTGTTTGGACGTGCCCCATGAGTGGATCTATAATTTGAATTTTGAAAAGAACTAGAGGCTATAAAATAGGGGGAGAGAGAAACTAGGACCAGCTAGCAAATAGGAAAATTGTCCTTAAAGGTCAGCTTGATTAGTGGAACATCAGGACTATTAAAATGAGACCATAGTTAGCAACTGGCTGAGTGAAGGACAATGAGCTAGTAAGGCAATCAACTCCCTTAGTTGCCTGAATAGTAATGCCACAGCTGTTGCACTATGGGAACAGGAATTGAAGTGGGGTGCTTCTATCCCATGCAGAAAATAATCTTCCCTGCTTAATATGTGTGCCCCAATTTGGGGGGAGCTGATTTTTGGGGGGCAAATGTGCTGTATTTAAGAAAATATAGTCACTTCATTGTCATCCTAATTCTTACTTCTTTTAGTTATGGTAATTTATCTTGCCAGAATTTTTTAAGGCAGCTAGGGGAATATCAGGCCAAAAGAGTATTAGAGGTGTAATGACTTGGTAAATCTTGTTGAACCAACATTTTTGTTACTAACTTCTTCAGTGTAACAAATGCACATCTCTTGAGACTGACTTAATGTTTTTTTATTGTTTTACTGCTGCACAAATTAAAAAAGGAAACTGAAGCCCTTTTTAATGGGACATGTTTTGCAATGGCGAATGCTAATGCTTATTTGTATGGAATTAATATATGTAGTAATAATACTGTTTACTTCACCAGTGGGGAGAGAATTTTTTTTTTTAAGGCTGCCTTGGGCAAACTGCTCTTGGGCTGATGCATTCTGTAAATTTGTGAAACGGATGACAATTTATATCATGATTTGTTGACTGAATCTCATTTAATGATGTGGGCTTTTTCTTTTTCAGACTACAGATCTCATTAGAGCATTGCAAGAACTAGAGAATGCTGCCTCAGGAGATGCAGCTGTTCATCAGCGGATAGCTTCATTGCCTATAGAAGTCCAAGATGTGTCCTTGCTAGATAGAATAACGGGTAAGACCTGAGATTCAGTAATTAAAGTATTAGTGTTAGAGCTTCACAGGAGTTTTTGTAATGCGGTGCTGTACTTTTTTTTTTGTTTTGTTTTGTTTTTTTTAGATAAGGAATCTGGAGAACAACTTTCCAAAATGGTAGATGATGCATGTATGTTGCTGGCGGATTACAATGGCAGGTTGGCGGCTGAAATAGATGATAGAAAACAGCTAACTCGAATGTTGTCAGACTTTCTCCGATGTCAAAAAGAATTCCTTGCAGAGAAAGAGCATAAATTGGAAGTGCGTAAAATTTTTGTTAGTATATGTTCTTCACTAAACATAGTATTAAATGTTTAGTTTGTTTAAATTTTCTTCCCAAGGGTAAATATTAGATCATCACTCAGTCTTTACTTCCAGTGTGTGACTAGCAGGAATTCTTTTGTTCTAAAATTACAAAAAAATACAATTTTCTTTTTCAGCACTAGGGGGCGTTATTTTTCTTGGTGTGTGCCTCCAGCACCTTGTTTTCTATTGAATTGCACAACTTCTCCAGATACAAACCTTAACTTGTATTGAAGGGGACAATATTGAGTACTGTGGAAATAAGCACTCTTCAGTAATATTAAAATATCAATTTGCTCAGTGTATTAAGTTCTAACAGGTTTATTTGACCTTACAGGAAATTCTGAAGATAAACAACTTGACATAATTTGGTCCATCTTGTGTGAAACTGAGTTATTTTGAGAGTCCTGATGTCCAGCTCTGCTTTTGAAACTATTTATAGCAATTTCCTGGGTTTAACTGAAGCTTAATTGGTCAGTCTAACAAGGATTTCTGGGTCCAGCTTATTTGCAGCAGTATTTTAGACATAGGTCAGAGTTGGCCTGCTTGTGGTCACTCTTAAACAAACAAAAAAAATTCTTAAATAGCATTTATGTCTGTCTAAGTTAGATACCTTTGCCTGAAGCTGTTTTATAAAAATCTGGTCAAAAACTTCACTGTTGGAAACAAATGGATATATTTGTCTCTCCTTCAGAGAGGTGTTTTAAAGTTTATACTTCTGGTTTTCAAAAAAATGTTTTATAAATAGAGCAGTAGTGTCTACTGGCATAGTTTAGTAGCATTGGAATTGAAACTGCCAGGAATTCTTGCTAGTCATTTACTGGATCTATAGGCCTAGATTGGGACATCTTAAGAAAAGAATTATAGGTAAGTAATACTCTCACATTGCAGAACAATATCTGTGTGTACCTTTTCTATATAAGAGGATTTATACTGGGTACATGTCAACTAACTTTTACTTGATTATTCCCATTAAATTCAAGGTACTGTATGCATTGAATTAGCTTGATAGATGAATTTTAACAGCTGGTAAAGTATGTTTGCATCAAAAGCTAACCTTGCAGCTTACTAGGTGACTTAAATACCATGGTGGGTAAGTAGTGTCATGTTATCATCTTTCAGTATGATTACTTTAACATCTATCTAGCTTCTGTTGCAGGTGGTGAACATGGACGTATCTTCTAATGATGTCACCATCCATTAGTACACACATCCTGCTAAAAATAAATATCAAACTCAAAATCCTGTATTGTCTCTTGTTTTTGAAAATGGAAGAAAGGAGAAATGCAATAACTATTCATTTTAGAATGGGTTTACTTTTCATTGATACCTCCCATATTTTTCACAAACACACCTCTTAAGACTAAAGCAGATAATAAGTGTTGATGTAGTGTTTTTCTTCCTGGAGGTTAGTCAACAAAAGTTTTAATCTGCTGGAGTAAAATTTGCACCTTTTTATGGGACTAGGGTTCAGACATTCCCAGTAGATTTAAAGTCTGTCAGTCCTTTTTACTTTTAAGTATTTAAAGTCATAAACTGAGAAAAGCTCAGAAAAGCTGAGAAAAAAATCACAAGCTGAGAAAGCAAGGTATTTGTGTTCTGAAGGTACATCAAGTTGCAGTATTACGTTACATCAGTGTCAGAAATTAGGAATTTCCAGCTTTTGTCAACACTAGCACAATAAGAATTTCACATTTGTCAAGTCAGTGCTTTTCTTAAACTTGATGACCATATCTTTGTCTGTGGTTTGTCATAATGTCCCTTTTTCCCCCACTTTTAGAGACCATACACATTTGCTTTTCTTGGATTTTCTTTTAAATGGCATATTCCCTCTGCTCTTATAGAAACATGTTCAACACAATATAGTGATTTGGTTTATGAAAAGTACAAAGGATTAATATGTATCTGACAGTATATGGGCAGTAGAGGAAATATTCCAGAAGGCTGTGCTATTTCTAGTCAAAGATTTTTGAGCAGAATTTATACTGTTATATTGAACAAGAGAATAACAAATTAGACACATCAGAAATCTTATGCTCTAGCTTTAGAATACTTGTGAAATATTTATCAAATAGAGCGAGGTGTCCTTGCAAGCAAGTTTGTCGAGACTGAGAGTGAGTTACCTTTGCAGAATCTTTCTCCTCATGGAACTACCAAAAGCAAATCTGTTGTGTTGAATGTGATAGACAATTAAGGTGTTATTAGATTTCAAATGAAAAAAGAATTGGAAGAACAAACAGGCTACCTTGTCCACGGTAAAGTTACTTATTTCATACATTTAAATAATACTTCTTTCCTAAATCCTTACTCTAAGATGCTTTTGAATATCCTGTACTTTGAGGCAAGGACATACATTAACAAGAAACTTTGCTATGCAGTTGTATTGCTGATACTTGTGTAGTGAATGACCCATATTCACCAACTTAGAATAGCATCAGTATTTTGCCTTCCCAAATCTAGGGAAGAAGCAGACGTTTCTTACCATCTGTTGACATTCCTAGCTAGAAGTTGAGCTTGAAAAATTACTTGAGAAATACTCTAGCAGCCCTTTTAAATCAATTACATATTAAGCTTTTTGTGCCTTCCCCCCAGCCAAATGGAAACAGAAACTGCTAAAAGATTATATTAAATGACAATTTCATCAGGGAGCCATGTAAAAGGAACCTGACTAAAGATTACACTGAACATACAAGCTGTGGAAACATCATTCTCTAGTTGGATCATCTTTTGCATAAGCAAAACTGGTTGTATCATGGGGCAGTCCTGGGCTCGTTTTTTATTTATTTATTTATTTTAACCCTTTCAGATAGCAGATGAGATGAATGATCTGACATCAGTGTTCATACCTCCTCTGAACACCCTTAGAATTTGAATTTCTGTCAGCTTTTGCTGCTGGCTGATAGGCAGTGCCTTGGAAACTTGCTTTCAAGAATTGGTTATGAACTAGCTTGTGGCATAGGTTGGGCTTTTGGACAGCTGCCTTTACCTCTGGCAGCAGAATTTCTCCACAGTCCACTTAGTTTTCCTCTTCATTGACAAATTTGTGTGTAAGCTGACATCATATCAAACACTTTAGAGGTCCTAATTTAAGATTCAGTCAAGTTTCTCATTTGTATATACTGTGCTACTTGTGAACAGAAGACACTTGGTATAAGGTCCCGTTCCCATGATTTCAGGTTCTTACCTCTGGATGAATATTTTAAAATGTGGGATAGTGTTATTTGGATGTCTTGCGTTGCTCTGTGTGGTGCAAGGCCAGGAGACAATTTGCCCTTGTCTGAGACTAAAATTGTGATACACAAAGAAACTTGATTTTTTTTGTTTGTTTTCTTACCACCACTCCCTGAGAATTAAATGTTAAAATTCTTCTAATCAGTCAGTCCCTTAAATAATTAGTTTCATATTTAAATCAAAATGTTCATAGGTTAGATTAAACCAGGTTTGTCAAATGTAAAACGCATGGCCAGATCCATCCCTATAGGGGGAGAGGGAGAGTTGACCTAGGGGACTTGTCACTGCAGCTGTCAGTAGTGAAGGAGCTTTGTCTGTTACTTGAAATCCTGTGTCCCTGCTGAGGGAACTGCTGCGGTTGAGGAGCAGCAGCTCTAGCTTCCTTGGCAAGAAGCCTCACCTCTTCCCAAACCAGATCTGGAAGTAGGTCATTTTGCAACAAGCCAAATTAATTGAATCTCTACCCCTATCCCCAAGATTAAGCAAATTACTAGCATTGAGAGCGTAGTTATACATTTTTCTCTCCATAATACCTGTTTATAATCTTCATCCTTTTCAGGAACATAGGGACCATTTCATAATTATTTTTGAGTGATCTTTAGTTCTTGCATTAAAAACGATTTTTCCTGTCACAAAATGACAATTGTGCGCCTTACGAGGTGACATAATACATGACCCTGATAATAGTTCTTATGTTGCCTGCAGCCCTCTTCCGCCTCTCCAAGAACATCTTGTTGAAGTTCTGGCTGCACTTTTCCTAGGTTGTTTTAATTCACATCCCATCTGTAGCCCCACGAAGTACTGGGACATTCTGGTAAATCTGGCCCTGATGAAATTGTCTACTGAATTAGGAAAGAGATGCTAGTTTAAGGGAATCTGGGTGACTGGGAGGCTGTGTTCCTTTCCCTTGTCAGTACATATCTCCAAACTCCTCCAAGACCGTTTTAGGCTGGACATAAGGAAAAACTTCTTTATTGTCCGAGTCCCCAAGGCCTGGAATAGACTCCCTCCAGAGGTGGTGCAAACACCTACACTGGACTCTTTTAAGAAACATTTGGACGTCTATCTTGCTGGGATCCTTTGACCCTAGCCGACTTCCTGCCCCTGGGGCAGGGTGCTGGACTCGATGATCTTCCGAGGTCCCTTCCAGCCCTAATGTCTATGAAAGCTGTGAAAGAAAAGTTCTAGTGGGCACTAACTGGAGTTATCAAATGTTTGCTGCTTTCCCTTGACATGCTAGTTAATAACATAGGTGTACTTCTGTTTCTGTTTTCTCATGGTTTCTCATAGAATTAGTTATACACTTAGAGGCCTCTGTCTAGCCAGGGGGAGGAACAAGGGGCTTGTGTAACAGAGAGACCTGTCTTGGTAACTAATAGCTGTAATGCCCAAATACTGCATTCTTGTGCATTTTTTTATGTAGAGAAGCAAAGTTTATTTTAGTTATTGAAATCGATGATTTTCCCTTTTTTTAAAAAAAGCACTGCTTTTGGGGGGCTTCTGGGCTTTTAACAACTTACATTTAGTTAAGAGACTTAGAAAAAAGTCAGCATCTATTCAGGTTGAGGTTCTCGTATTGTTTTAGTGGTGTCGGTATTGATAGATGAGCATTATACATGACTGTTCTCACTTTATTATTCAGACGGTATATCAGCATACTTTTTTTTTTTTTTTTAAGTGTCTTGAAGCTTTCAGGTTTTTTCCTGTCAATTTGTTTGGGAATGTGT